CACACCGATTCAATATTGATTTTAGTGACCTCCGATTGGCGTAACCGGGTGTCATTACTGCCGACATGAATTATGATTTTACTGAATTTACGTTTAAAAAGACACCTCTATCTTTAAACTGAGACCAGATCTTTAGATCGAGTCACACCATCCATCCTGGCAACACGCGTCTTCAAACAGAGACTTCACTGTGAGCTTACTTACATTATACAGTAGTCTTAAATGGTTGTGAAGCTACTGAGTGGACAAACTTGGTCCACAGACAGAAAACACCTGGCAAGATACTTAAAAGCACCCAAGAGGTCGTTCCCACTATTTTAAAATGGTGACACACACGCAAAAATAAAGAGAGAGAGACAGACTCACAACTTGAAAACAATAAACATCCATCACAGAGGTTTGATCACAATTTGATTTGCCCCTCACAAAAATGTCAGGTGATTCAGCAAACACAGAGCACTGGATTGTTTTTTGGATTATATGCCCAGAGTTTAAACCCTTTCTGACTGATCAAATGCAAAAGCAAAAATGTTTGTAGATTTTCTGCCATACATAGAGAAAATAAGAGCTGTTTTCATCTCTGACACATTCCACTTCATTGACCCTAATTTCAAGTTACAGGCCAGAAACAACAGTGAGCAACCTCGTGTCAGTGGAGTGATTTTCAGATGAAAACAAAGGTCATTAAAGCGTTCATAGATAAAGTTCTGTTTAGTTCCTTTTTTTTGAATGAATGAATCAGAAGGGGAAACGAGGTGTCCTAAAATCGTGCTAATCAAGGAGTCCCTGGAGAATAAAAAATCTTTGAATTTGTTCAGCAATCCAAACATAAAAGATCCAGCAGAGTACTTAGTTACCAAACATGAAAGGGATGCCAACAGAAAAAAAAGAAAAGAAAAAGAAAAATAAGATGCTACAATTTTCACAGGGAGTGGCCAGGACAAGATTAGAAATGAATCTATCAGAGGGAGAGTACAGACTGAGTAGCTTGGAGAAAGTTAGTGAGGCGAGGCTAAAATGTTTTGCACATTCACAGAGCAGGAAAATTGACTCTATTGGACAAAGCATGAGGAAAAGAGAAATATCACAGAGAGAGCTGGTGTGCAGATGATATACTCAGACAACCCCTAAAAGGAGCAGATCCTAGTAACTACAGCCTCTGCTTACACTTCAGTTAAACAATAATAATAATAACAATAGTCCTGATTTTTTTTTTATACAATAATATATAGTTTGATTTTTGTTTGTTGCAATTCAACAAATTATTATTAATTGACTGGCAAGGAAGGGAAGCTTAATCTCCCATTCATATAGTCTGTTAAAGAAAACAAAATATATTAATTCCCACTGCTTTGATGATTTTACTGAGTGTTGCAGTTCCCCTGTTAAATGTTGCACTGTTGATCTGTGATAGCTTATGAGCTAGCAAGCAGCAAAAGAGCATTCAACCAGATTTTTGTTTTGTTTTGTTTTGTTTGTTTGGGGGGGTGTTTTGTTTTTTTGCTTTTTAGATTAATGTTAACCAAAAAAGAAGAAGAAGAAGTAAAAAACAGCACAAGTCACAGCAGTAGCGGGAAGTTAGCAGGTTAGCAGAGGGGATAGAGTTTGTATAAAATTTAATTTTTAAATTTAAAGGTTGTGTAAAGCACTTTGGGGTCCTTGGGGACTAGAAAAAAGCGCTATACAAATACGGGCCATTTAAAATATTGCTTTTGAACTGAAACAAAACCAAATTCTGAGACTGAACCGCACTCACAGGCAAAGGTAAAGGAAAAGCTCGTCCATTTTTAGATGGAAACTTCCAAGTATTAAGCTAAACCGGACTTGCCTCTTGTTATACCGGTCAGACAGCTACATGGATGCGTTGCACACCCAGTCTGGAGTCTGGAAGTCATTTATAACAGGAGATCCGACTGCAATGTTTCGGAAGGATGGATCAAGTGCAATCAGCAAGTCACAGTATAACCGAGTGAAGGAGAGGGATAGCAGCTCAGAAGCGTGCAGGAGGTGGACTACTATGCAGGTAGTGTAAACTTTTACCAAGTTAGCTATAATGCTAGCAGAACACTTAGCATTAATGACTACATTCCTGCCGTATTAATTGAGAAATGCTTAGGGCCATTTCAGAGCTGTTAAAGTGGCTAACACCAAGAACACAGTTACAACAAAAAAGTGCTGGCTTAATCAAAGATATGATAAAGCAACTACAGTTCATTCACTTTTAAACACTAAACCACAAGTCTCAAACATAATTACAGGCTCACTGGACAGCTAGAGGGTATAGATTTTGTACTTTTAACTATCTTTACATAAGCTTTAAAAATTTCTTGCTGAGAAAGACCTCTGTTGAGAGGTAGTTATATTTTTCAGAGCTGATTTAGTGCTATAGCTTGCTTTATGCATTTTAATAATAGGTCAATTTAGGAGAAGGCCAGCTGTGAGAGAGAACTAGGTCAGAGGGTGACAGGTTGCCTTACCAACAAAGGCTACTACCTACTGCCATTCATACTACACCAAAGTAATTGAGTAGAAGATAAGCAAATAAATGACAGAAAATATCATGTTTTTTAATAGTATACTGTAGTTTTTACAGTGGTTCTACAGTTAAATATTTTCTATAAACTTTCTGTTTTATAATTATAGGACAGCCTGGGCAATAAGCTGCCTGAACTTTCTCTGTAACTTTACACTTTTTTTTTTTCAAATTAAATCCAAAAATTCATGCTTTCATTTACTACACCAGCATTTCTCTGTTATGTAGGAAAACTAACATGTACTGTTGAAATTGCACTTCGTTTTCTTACATTAGGATATCTCAGGGATTAAATGTATAGTTAAATGTCTTTACACTGAAAGAAAGTGTAGCGTCACTAGTTTGACCTACTTAAAATCAAAGTGTGGTGTATTTGGCCTATGATGTAAAATGAGTTTGACATCCCTGAGAATGCAACGCAGTGTTCATTAATTAATCAAAGCAAGTTCAACAAGCTTCAGCATTTGAGCTGAAAGGACAGCACTATCACTGAGGTGGATGATTGAGTTTTGCTTCTGCTTTGGACCAGATAACAACTTGTTCCTGCACGAAAAGCTAGAAAGGAAACACCTGTCTCCTGTCCACTTGATAAAGGCATCCTCTGTTACACGAGAGCTGGAGCTACAATGAAGGATAAGGCAAAGTACTTCCTCTGCGAGGACAGGTGAGTAAGTAGATATTTTTCTTGGCTGGTTACTCTTTGCCTATCTCCTTGTTGCTTCAGCACCTTGGACAGTGACATGACCTACTGCGGTTTTGTTTTTATAATGCAGTTAGTCGGCTTTAAAAAAAATTAAAACAAGATCTATCTAATATTTTACAGTATGACCTTTATGTGCATTCTTAAAATTCATAAACGTATGCGATTTAGTTTTTGATAATAAACTAGGTTTGGTATGATTTTGTGCTTGTCTCCTTAACAACGTTGTTTTTTTACTTAGAGTACAGGCGCCACCTCAGAGAATGTACATGATTCATTAGTTGATATTAACCAGTGCTTAGTAGAAGTTTGAATTTTCTAAATATTTTGTTGTGTTTTAAATGTGCAATAAGCCACATTCAGAAACTCTGGACATCCGACTAGTGCCTTGCCATCTCGAACTAAAAGGTTTCAATTACAGTCAGAAAGGTTGTGCACACGAGAGCTGAAACAACCCAACATCAACTTTTAGCCCAGGCTAGTGCTCTAAATTACAAAATGAGTAACATGTTAAAGTGAACCCCAAAAAAGTTAAAGTGAAGTGTTTGCCCTCTGAGTGCAGTCAGAAAAGCAGAAACATGAAAGCACTCTGCACCTCTACAGGAGTGATGGAACACCTTTTTTTTTTATAGAAAATATTCATTTCTTTGGTGTTTTTAAAGAAATCAGTCCAAAATCTCTCATAGTTCCTCAGGGCTAAAATCTGGTGACTTTGAAGGCCAAAGCATATGCTACCGAGTCCAATTTTCTTTTGTTGGTTTTATTCATGCAAGTGAAAAAGTGGTGACTAGCACATTATGTTGGATTTTGAGACAATAAATGCTGAACTATGATAGCCTAATGAAATTACTACAACGTAGAAAAGAGATACTGAAGCCATGCAGTAATTGGTAGAACATTAAAAACAAGAAAGCATTATTGGCTTTGCATTAACATTATGAATAAGTACAATTAAAGCCTATCACAAATTAAAGTTTTGCTTTAAGGAACCATTCAGCGACCCTTCATGCCTTGTGTACGTAGGAACAGGCTAGAAATGTTGCTTAACAGGCTAAACCCAGTAACTCAGCATTTATTTACCCTTCAACTGTAAAAGGCTGATGAGATATTTTTATCAACTCACTGGGCAGTAGCGGTGGGAATCACCATACATCCCACGATACGATATTATCACAATACTTAACGCACAATACGATATTATTGCAATTTTTTTAAATATTTTGTGATATTCAGTTTCTGTACATAAAGGTAAATTTTATCAATATTCATTTTATCTAATATCAAAGTCTCACACTCAGTCTTTCTCTCATTTCAGTCAGTTTTATAAACTGAAGCGTTTGTATTACAGTCTAGTCTAACTTAACTGAATGCAACCATCTGGTACAATTATAGCTATTCTAAACTATGCAATTTATGAAAACTATGCAGCCCATTCAGCAACTGAAGAATTTGAAAGTAAATTAAAACAAAATATAATTTTACATTAAATAAAAAAGTTTTAAACTTTTGTCTTTTATTAAAATAAAACATGTCTTAAATTAAAATAAGTAATGTTTATTGCTGCCAAAAAAAAAGTTAAACACATTTGGACAGTGAAAGAATGTCAGGATTCTTGCTCAGAAAAAGGATCAACATGAGCATGTTCCAGTCCACAAAAACTTTTTTTGTAACAAAATATCGATTTCTGCTGTCCCTATATCGATACATTATTAGCAAACAAAATATCACGATACAACAGTATCGATTTTTTCCCCCACCCCTACTGGGCAGGTGGGCAGGCAGTGTCAACACCCAAATTTGTAAATGCAATAACTCGAGAATGAGGTGAAGCAGGAGTTTCAAATTCATATCTTAGATGTATCTACGAAAAATCTTGGATGAGTTTGAATCCTGGTGAACTCGACCTCAAGGTTAAAGGTCCTTTCCTAGGATTTTCAGATTTATACCATTTAGACCACTTGTCACATCTACTAGGAGGCTGAGGGGTAGCCTTGGCAACCGCCAGTTTTTGTTTTTGTTTTTGTTTTGTTTTTTTATTAATTTGCAGTGTCCCTTCCCTCTGAGGTGACAACTGGACCCAACTCATACCTGTAACAGGACCTCACGGCATAACAGAGCCACTGGATCCCTTCACTGCATGCATCAGTGGTTCTGATTTTCCTTTTCTTTTCTCACTTCTCATATAATTAACTATAGAAACCACTATAGTAATAAGAGTTATTAGCTATTTTGCTGCTCTTTGTTTCACCACGTTGATTTGTCTCTTCTGTAGCACTCAATGAACAAAACACATACCAGTACATTCAGGCAAACCAGCATCACCTCCAGTATGCAAAAAGACAAACAATTTAGAGAGAAAGTGGTCTTATTGCGCTACCATAACAACCCACAAGAAGCAGACAAAGCAGTGGTGCTAAAATAAACTGTTCTGAAAAGGAGTACAGTACGTACCGCTGAGGCCAGTGCATATCCAGCCAGTGCTGCATTGCTAATGTGACCACAGAATATGGTGATAACAAATGACAGGAGGAAGTGCAGAATCCGCGACAGCAGCTGTAGAAACAAGCAGGACTTTAATCATTTGCTGGTACGGTGAAAGCACAGCAATTTATTGCCATTAACTGTGCCCAGGGGACTTATCAGTACTTGGCAAAGCAGTGTTGTGAAATCACAAGGCACAGACTTGACTGCATTAATATTCAGTCAGTATAGACAACATTTTTTCTTCACTTTTTTAGGCATGCAGTATATTCAGTTTATATTTGAGAAATAGTGACTAATTTCACTGCATTATGTAAACCTGTACTAAAAACAGTAATTCTGCACTGCAGGAGTGCGCTGACTGTGCGTATTATAATCATGGGATCCCCCAACTAAAAAGGAACCACTTTCTGCTACTTACCAATGGGCCTGTGAGTCGTAACACTTGGTAGAGTTCTTCTCTGTAAGCCTGCGGCAGCAAGCGTTTCATGCAACTACACTCAAAGAGTTTAGATCTCACCCATGATGCACCCTCGTCTTCCACAGCCCCTGACGTCTTAGCAACAGAAACCCCAGCAACGGGCCCTGCACTGGGCAAGGGGTGTGCTGGTTCCGGTGAAGCCAGCTTCTCCATTCAAACACAGAAAGAGAATACAGACGGGAGAGAGGAGGGAGAAAAGTTAGAAAGCACTGGTGGGAGGGAGCGAGAGTGGCAGGGAGGGAGTGGGGAAAGACAGTGCAAGGGTAAGAGGGGCAATTGGCCTATCTGGGTTTAGAAGTGCGACACATGCACTTCTTAGAAATTATTGATTAAATTATGTGGTTTGGGGTGTGGCGGTGGAAACAACAGATTAAACGAAATAGAGAAAATAAACATGGGAGGTGACGGCTGGAGAAGGGATTGGAAAAGAACAGAAGACCTTTCTGATACAAGGATCAAAACAGGGCTGACAAACGGGTCTTGAAGTTGGGGGAGGGAATGCAACGTGTTTGAGTATTTGCTCTGTGTGCAGTGTACGAGTGCGTGCTTTGTGAATATGTTACATGGCATATTTTGTCGTGTGGGTTTACTTGCGCGTTTGAGTGGTCTTGCAGGGCTCAGTGGTAATCTGATGAGGAATGCCTTGTTTTTCAGTGTATACAAGGAATTTTGATGGCATCTGATCTGCAGGCTTTGAGTAATTGGTGCAGGGCAGTCATGCTGTTTGTGTTTGTGTGTGCTAGTATTAGCCATTGATTGTAGCTCCGCCTGAATGGACTTTGACTAATGATTTTTGGAGTTGTCCTTCCTCGTGTCACATAAATCAACAAAGTCACATGAGCACAAAAACCTGACCGCTCTACAACTCAAACATTTACTCACAAGCATTTACAGGTCACTTGACTTTATTGTCTTTATAGTCGACTGACTATTGAGAAGAGACCACCTCTCACAACACATGGGGACCTGTAAATCCTATAAACTTACATTTATATGTTAATGAATTGCCTGACGACTGATGGTGATTTAATCACTGAAACTCCAAAAAGGCACAGTGTGGAAATGAACACCTAATACATATCATGTCCACTTGATCAAACTGATTTTAACCTGGCCATGGGCTCAGTCAGAAGTTAAAGAATTAGTTTACACAGTAGAGCTGAAAAGTGTGTGTGTGTGTGTGTGTGTGTGTGTGTGTGTGTGTGTGTGTGTGTGTGTTTGCCTGCACATGGATGGAAAGAGTTTCCTGTCCATAGTGTGCGATCCAGTCAATTGTGCAACAGCATCATAAAGAGCGTCTTATTACACCTCTGTTCGTGTTGCAATTGCAGCTAACCTTTGATCACATAAGGCTTTCTTAAAGGGCAAGCTCAGAAATCTGTCATAGATTAAAAAGTACACCGTTGGCAGTGGTGAAATATATGAATGAAGACGGTCCAAGCGTGAAGGCGATGGTTATTATTACAACTTGCACTTTAGCATATGCGCTAAGTCGCAAGAATAAAAGGGAGAGGAAGCTGGCCTTTTTCCTGCTTTAAATTTGAGTTCTGATTTAATTCTGATGTAAAGTAATAACTAGGCGTAGTGTGTCCGCTGCAGGTCTTGCTTTAAAGCTACTTTTAGACGTCTACTCCACCTGGGGTCAAACATTGCATGCACAGCACTGTTACTTAACAAATTAAATTGCTGAAGCATCAGAATTGATGCCTCAGCAAACAGTGGAAAATTTCGAAGCAAAGTTTAGCTAAGCATATTTCACAAGCTATCAGTAAGGGTAGTAACATTATTTGCATTCCTCACAAATGCTCATTAAATTAGCACATTTTTGTTGATGTGGGTCCAGCAGTTGGTTCAGAAATGCTGATTTTAAAAAAAAAAAAACTTAGGGCAACGCTGAATTATTAGCTTGTTACAGAGCAGTAAACCCATGACTTTGAAATTTCTGTTACAGTTCAAATTTCACGTCACGTCTCATTAACATTTGTTAGTTTTTAAAAAATATTTTCTTACATGTTTTTATATACACACAAACTTCCATTGCACTGATCTGCGTTTACCGTCACTCATCTGACATTAACAGGAAAGGCAGGAAAATTGACAAGGAAGTAAATTCACAAACACTATAGTTACATTTATCCCTTTTCCCACAGCAAAATAACAATGCCTTCTGCTCCTTTTCAAGGACACACACAAATTTAATGTATAACTAATTTATATATTTTGTATAATTTTATAGTATTAGAAATAATTAATGGGCTTCCATTGTAACTTGCTTCATAAATAAATGTGTAGAAGTACACTGATTTTAAGAATTTTAATTTAATTTTGAATCCCTCCAACCATTGATTTTAAGGGTTTGTGATGTCATAAGGGTATTTAAAAGCGGCTATTTAAAATAAAAATTTAACTATTAAAAAGGGTGTTTTTTAACTTGGCACACACACCCAGTTTAGTTTTAGTGCCATTGTAATGGCTACAGCCAATAAAGGTTTTCCTTGTGTTAAAAGTGTACACAATAAAAGATGGAAAAGGTCATGGGTGGGAGGATTTAAAGGGTGTTGACATGAAGGCAAATACTATTATAAGAAAGGCATTTTGAACGAGAAGGTACTTATAAAAAGGGACTTGCGAAGTACAGACTAGGAGCTGATCCAGGTTAAAACAGTCATTCATACCCTCATATAACACAGACAAGACACGAGCTTTGTCAGGTAAATTCGTCTAACTCATCTCAGAATGCGAAACATTTATATATATATATA